TGCAAAGTCCTTTAAATGGTCTCAGTCTAGTTCTGTAGGCTACACAATCATGGGGAAGACTGCTGACTTGACAGTTATCCAAAAGACGACCATTAACACCTTGCACAGGGAGGGCAAGACACAAAGGGTCATTGCTAAAGAGGCTGGCTGTCTATAGAGCTCTGTGTCCAAGAACCACATCATCTGCAAAAATCAAAGATGAGACCCCTGAGGTTTCCAAACCAGGTACCCTTTTCTCCACAGCTGTGCACTTGGATCCTGTCCATGAACACCACACAAGGCAGTGGTGGTTTCTGACATGGGCGGCATAGGCAGCTGTCCAAGGTGGCATCTTGTCAAGAGCAGCACTAGCGCTCAGCCCCATCCCTGCCCTCCCCATCAAAAAATAAAACGCATTATTTCATATAGCCTGTCTAGCCTACATATGGGTTTCCCATCACTCACTTGTGGGGAATGGGCACCCTCTGCCAGGTGCAGGGCATGTAGCTGCTGCTGAGGTCTGACACAGGTTGTGAAAGAAGGGGAGAGGGATTCTCTCGTCTCCCTTACTGGGCTACCTGTAATCACTGAGTAAACCATACTGTTAATTGCTCCCAAACAAAGCACATTTCACTCATAATATTGTGAATATATATATAGCCAATAGTTCACAGCTTCTCTGTGTGAAATGGCTGAAAAAAGAATACAAAAACAAATCTGCAAATGAAGGTGAATTAGTTTAGGCCTAAATTGTTTTCACTCATGTTGGGGAAGTGTCAATTACACACATGGAAGATGGACAAGATCATGGTTATGGTTATGTTGCACAATAAGTTTACTAATTAATAACATAAGCCGCTACCTGTTGTTTACATTTAGCTGCTTAGGGTGACATATTTTGTTTTCAGCAGAAAATATTACCGTTCTCAAGATGGAAATTCTTCTAAAACTAAACTACTACATGGAAAAATAATATTAGGCTACTATAATTACTAAATTACTACTTTAATTACTACTATAATCACCTCCTTTTACAGGTGTGCAGTGGAGAGCATCCTGCGCTCCAGCATCAACGTGTGGCATGGAGGCTGCACAGCTGCAGAAAGAAAAGCTTTGCAGAGAGTGGTGAAGGCTGCACAGAAATCTGTTAGAGTCAGTCTCCTCACCATCACAGACATCTACACCTCTAGATGCAGGAAGAGGGCCACCTGCATCATGAAGGACCCCACTCACCCAGCACACACACTTTTTGCCCCGCTCCCCTCAGGAAGGAGGTTGAGGAGCATTAAGTGTAGAACCACTAGACTGAGGAACAGCTTCTACCCTGAGGCTGTTAGACTCATGAATCTCTAACCAGAATAATCACTGAAAAATCACATCATGTTGCTGCTGATCTGTTTCATGTTGCTGCTGATCTGTTTCATGTTGATGTGTTCATGTGTGCTCATCTGCTCACACAGACTCATGTTCGTGCTGCTGTTCAACGTATTGTTTTTGTACTACTAGTGCTTAGTGTGTTTTTAGTTGATGTTTTTCTTTGTTCATATCTTAGATCTTTTAACTGTTTTTATTTTACATTTTATTGTTGGATGTAACTGGGACCCTGTGCACACAATTTCATTCCACCACATGTACCCCATGTGGTGGAATGACAAATACAGAATCTTGAAACTTGAATCTTAAAGACAATGATCTTGTGATGTTGTTTGGACCGTGTTAAATATCCATTACCCAACTTCAGAACAAGCGGTAGATAATGAATGGATGGATACTCTATTAATCCCCAACGGGGAAATTAATTCTCTGTATTTTTCCCATTGCATATGTGAGCTCACATGTGCAATGGGAAAAAAATGTATATATAAAATATATACCTGTGTGTTTTTAATCTTAGCTGTTACAGTAGATACTTGCTATGTCAGTATGAAGTCCTTAAATCACTTCACATTACTTGAGAAAGTTATGTTAGCCTGCTGTAATTACTCAATGTTGCATTAGGATACTTCTCAACAACAGTTTTATAGCCTATTAAATCACTGTGAGGCATAAAATGATGAATGTTTGATAAGGAGCCTTCCTCAGCTGCACAGGCCTCTTCAGCAACAGTTCTGGAGCCTCAGGAACAGGGTCCTCCTCCTCAGCCACAAATGTGTCTCCACACATTGTCTGATCCTGAGGATGAAGACCCATTTGCCTCGACCTCCCCCCAGCAGCTCTCTCTCTTTATGGTTCTACAAAGTTCTCGGTCCACAGAACTCTTGCACCAGCTGCCAGTATTGGACTCCTGTCCAAGTCCACCAAACAATGACTGTCAGAGTCGTAATGTACAAAACTTGATGTTAAAAAAAGCAAACAGACACAAACTAAATGTCTGGAATAAAAAATATTTTTATTGTTTGTCAGTTTAAATTTAGCACAGGTGGGATAGCCACGTTGTTTCATTGGACAAAACTGCTGCAACACAAAAAGCTACAGAGAAGGCACACCAATCTGATGAAAACGGTATTTTCAAAGGTTCCTCCTCTCTTTACAAAATGAGCTTTAATTCATAGTGAATCATTTTGTCCTTATGCCACGTTGGCTGATCTATCAAATGGTTTCAAAAATTGAAAGGCACTCAATGCAAAGTATGAAATGAAACCTAAAAAAAGGTTATCACTACAGTTTTTTTTTTCCAGATTTATTGGTAAAAACCACATGTAAGTTTGAGACTGACCCACATTAGGCTGGTTGTAGTTGAGCAGCAAGTTTAACTTTTGGCCTGTTTTCAGTTATTTTGGCTGTTTCTGTAGGTAAATAAACAATTGGCATATAGTCACAATTTTTATTTAGCTTTAAGAACACATTATCCATTAATAATTCCTAACAATATTTAATAATTCATTTAAAAATAAAAAGTAATTTACTTTTTGATTTTTGTTTGGTGTTCATGACTTTGCAATGAGCACCTTTAATGAGACTTAAAAAAAAAAATCACATTTACAACAAATAAAAACCAAACATTCTGTGAAACTAGAAGACGAGTCGACTTTTAGATCAGGCTTTAAACTGGTTTCTCAGAATCCTAAATGAGGCTGATAAATAAATAAAACGATGCAGTTTGGTAACTTAACATATGAAGACGGAAGCATTTAATGCTTAAAGGTGAAGTTACAAGACTTTCTCAAAGTGTCCAGTTCACACAATTGTTTATCTTTGTCCAGAATTATATGAAAAAGAGAAAAGCTTGTAATGATTTTACAGCAGGTTGTGTTTCAGACCTTTTGGTTTCTAAACTTTTCCCACCTAATCCTGGTGTCCACAAAAAGACAAACTGCCAGAAAACAGAAATGTATATTTAAATAGTCAGAAAAAAGAAAAATTGTTAGCAGAATGAAAACAATTGGTGACCATGTTTGAATAGTGGAACAAGAGACGTCACCAAAAAAACCCAACCCAAAACGAACTAAATGCAGAGAAAATTTACACAAGAGTTTTGGAGAAAACCATTAAAACTCATAAAAGGTCCAGGTTACTGACTGGTTAGTCCATCTGTCTGCAAACATAATGATGGAAGGAGTAGTAGAAGTTACAGCAGCAGCATCTTTTTCTGTTCTTTGTACAATCCAAAACCTAAAAAAGCTGGGACGTTGTGTACAATGTAAATAAAAACGGAATGTAATGATTTGCAAATTGAAAATGCAGGTTATTCACAATGGAACGTGGTAAACAAACATTTAAACTAAGACACTACCGTTAAAAAAGGTCATTTGAAATTTATTGCACCAAAACCTCTTTAAAAAGTTGAGTTGGGGCAACAAACGGCTGTAAAACTGGTCCAAATGAGAAACAGCTGGAGGAGTGTTTTATAAATTAATGTCAACAGGTCAGAGGACCAGGTATAAAAAAAAGGAGCGTTTTAGAGAGGCTGAAACTCTCAGAAGTCAAGATGGGCTGAGGTTCACTACTCTGTGGAAAATGTATATCCAAACACGGTGCAACATTAGACCCTCAGTGTAAAAACTTAGAATATCTTATCATCTACGGTTCATAACAGAGTTCAAGACTTTGTAAAAATCTCAAAAGGACAACGTTGAGAGTCGTGATGTTCGGGCCCTCAGGAGCCGCTGCATTAACACAGGTCTGATTCTGTTGTGGACATCCCTGCATGGACTCAGCAGCACTTCCTCAAATCAGTCTGCAAACAGTTCACTCCATAAATACTGCTTAAAGCTCTATCATGCAAAGAAGAAGCAACATGTGAACACCATCCAGAAACGCTGCAGACTCTCTGAACCAAAGTTCATTTAAAACGAACTGAAGCAAAGAAGAAAACTGTTCTGTGGTCAGACAAATCCCTATTTTGAAAAACACAGATGCCACATTCTCTGTACTAAAAAAAAAAAAAAACAGATTCTGCCCGTTATCGGGGCACAGTTGAAAAGCTTGCCTCTCTGATGGTATAGGGATGCATTCATAACTCTGGCACGAGCAACTTCGACACAGTAAATGCAGAAAAGCACATACAGGTTTTAGAACATCTACTATCCAGAGGACGTCTTTTTCAGGGAAGAGCTTGCATTTACAAAGACAAACTGCATCCATTACAGCGGCATGGCTTCATAGTGGAGGACTGGTGCTGAACCTGGAACAACTTTGAGATCATTCGCTGTCACTGAATTCACAATGACCTTATTTTCTCGTTTAAAAATGGCACAATTACTTAGTTTGTGATATCTTTACTGTGTTCCATTGTGAAAATAAAATGTGGGCTTAACAAATTTACAAATCATTTGATTCAGTTTTTAATGTACATTTTTACACGTTTAATAATCGTGTGTAAAATCATTCATTTACAAGAGTCAAACATTAAATACAGTATAAAACATACACGCCTGCCCTGCACAACTATCACAGAAAAGCCTGAAATGCTTTCATTCAAGTCCGATATTAAAACAAAGAAACCAGATGTTTTACACATCGTGTTTTAAGTTAGTAGCACAAAGTGAGGCATGAGGGTGTCTTCACCATAAAAAAAGGTTAGATTTTACATATGAACAACAAATCTTATTCAAAGTACAACCAAACACAAACAGTACAAAGCCGATGGACGTATTATTTGTTTCTCAGCAAAGTTCACACTTGATCAACGTGCCAGCAGGAGCCCCTCAGCCAACAAGACCTCTGCCCCGGGAGGGAGTCGACGTGGAGAAGCTGCTGATGAAACACGAGCTCTTCGTGGCAGAGTTATGAAAAACAAGTGCTGGCAGTCTGAGTGTTCTCCTTCACACACAAATGCAGCAGGTCATCGTCAGCAGGAGTCCTCAAGCCTCACAGCACCCCGCCTTTCCTCAGACTGCACATCTTTTAGAAGTACAAAACAGAGTTCCTCCAAAACCACTCTTTAGACACGCCCCTCGTTAGTTTTTGGGGTAGATTTTTTCATAGAAGAAGTTTTGGGCCAGCAGGTAGAGCTCCCCGTCCTTTTCTCTGACAGCATGAGCCCTGACAAACTGGAACTGCTCCAGTGCAAACTCGTAGAACTCGTTCTCCATCTTCCAGATGGCCGACTGCTGCAGCTTGGCGATGGACTCCTTAGTGGGCGGCTTCTTCTCGCTCGTCTTCCGTAGGTGAGATTTCTTGCCTGTAATAAAAGAAGATGCACATTAATCTTCCGTCAACATAAAATAAACATATTAGCTGCATTTTAAACCACAAATTATATCAGATTGTTTTTTTTTAATGTTTGATCTGTTGGTAAAGCCACCTACTGTGGCTTTCACCCCTTGGCATTCTTATCTCCACTCCCTGTATAGATATACTGGTGTTCATCAATGTGAATATAAAAATATTAAAACGATTAATCAAAATCAGTTACATGTGAACGTTAGTGTTCTTCATTCAGAAAATCCACACGTCACATCTAGATTTCAGGATCTGGTTTTTATAGACACAGATTAAATGTTAAATATAAATATTTCTATATTATCACCACAGTAACCGTGTTACACACGAATGGTGGAGTCCAAACTCTTTAAGATGGTTTTGTAACCTTTTCCAGTCGGATGAGTATCAACAACTCTTTTTCTGAGCTCCTCAGAAATCTCCTTTGTTCCTGCCATGATCCACTTCCACCAACATGTTGTGGATATCAGACTTTGATAGATCCTGTTCTTTAAATCAAACAGGGTGTCCACTCACACCTGATCATCATCCATCGAGTGAAAACACCTGACTCTAATTTCACCTTCAAATTAACTGATAATCCTAGAGGTTCACATACTTTTACCACTCAAATATGTCATATTGGATCATTTTCATAAAAAAAAAAAAAAGACCAAGTATAATATTTTTGTCTCTTTTGTTTAACTGGGTTCTCTTAATCTATTTTTAGGACTTGTGTGAAAATCTGATGATGTTTTAGGTCAAATTTATGCACAAATATAGAAAACGACGTATAAAGGCTTCATAAACTTTCAAGCACCACCGTACTTCCTGAATCTAAGGTCGGCATCCAACTTTAGTGTTTTGGATCTTTACATCTGCTTCTTTATCGAGCTTTATGCATAAACTTATTTATAAATTAGTTTTCCTGGTATTTTACATTGTGATGCAATGTTGCCAGGTGTCAAAATGACTGCAGAGCACAACTGAAATATAGTTAGATATGAATACTGTTTAGACTGAGTATTTCAACAAACCAGAAGTAGGCATGAATATATCTAGACCACAATGCATCACAAAATACCGACTTTGGTCATGCCCATTAGTAACTGTAAAACAGTCAATTTCCAGCAGTCAGGCAACAAAGTAGAAATAATATCAAGGGAAGTGAAGACTTTTCTAACACAATATATACACCAATAGGAGGCTCCGGTACTAAATATTTGTGGTAATATTCTTCCCATGTTAAAATCTGTCACATCTTACAAAGGTTACTAAAAAGAAACACCACAAACTTGGTACTCATCACTCTCAGGTTCTGCCTCATTGTTTCCATGTAGGTAGTCTGAAAATCTGTCACTGATGGAGCTCTGAGAAAACACATGGAGCAACAAATAAAACTACCGTCAGGAGCTAATTGTCCTGTTTTTATCCTCTCTATGTTAAAGAAAACAGGATCATACTTCAAGCCAGTGGCGATTTTAGCCTCTTTTTAGGGGTGCTCAAGCACCTCTAAATTTTAATTCAGCACCCCTGAAAAATAAAGAAACCATCATTAGGATTTTGTAAGGAAACTCAGTTCTCAAATCTTAGATTTACCAAAATATTGAATAAATTTCAAATAAACATGGAATAAATGATGGCACTCTTAAACGGGCCAGTAAAATCTTTGATATTTTTTTTTTTCACGAGTCAGATCTTCGACAACACCTGTCAATCAATCCAGCAGGCTTGCCAGCAACTGACCAATTAGTGATCTCAATTTATCCCAAAGTGAAACACTCATAACCTGCAGGAGCTCCACCCCCTTTTCCCCCGACAACATTGTCGGCGTCTTGCATTATGAACGCTTTGTGGTCAGAGGGATTTCGTGAAAAATCACCAGAAAAAATGGTTAAACGTTGTCAGTGTAACATGTAATTCAGACGGCGTTACCCAGAGTGTTTAAAGAGTGGAATACAGTTTATTACATTTTCAAAACCTAAACTGAGTCTGGAAAAATGTAAAAGATGACAAAGGCCGTGAGGCCGACCTCACGAGCAGCTGAATACAACAGTGATAAACAGGAAGTACCACATGTTCATCTGTACAAAGGTAACTGCAGGTAAATCTTCATTTTCTGTCATAATTACATTGTATGTTTAATGGTTAAATTAAAGGTTAATGCTTAAAGTTAGTTGTGCTTTGTTTTGTATGTAGATCTATGTTGCAACTTCTGGTTGTATAAGTTTAGTCTTTGTTATGATCAGTTAACACTAAACTGACTTTGTGTAAAGCATTTTTCAGGTTGTGTAATGAAAAGCAGAGCGCTACGTTCGTAGCATCTTAGCTAGCGTGTCTGTATTGCACGCTGCTAGCTTAGCGCTACTTCTTGTTGTGCCGTGCTCTTTAAAATAGTTATTGAGTCAAGTGTTTACTTATGTAGGTAAACGTAGATGTTTAAAAACCCATTAAAATACATCAGAATGCAGGAAATGACATATAATATATTCAAATTTTTCTGCGGGAGGACCCCCCACCAGCGTGTCCCCCCCCCCACATTATAAATGCTTCTGATGCCAATGGCTACTTAGATGTTCAACCCAAGAGCTGTTGTTGGCACTGGGGGTTGAGCACCCCTAAAAGTCAGATCCTAGAATCGCCCCTGCTTCAAGCTAACAAAAAACCCTAAAATGTCAGACACCTACCAAAAGATCAGCCAGTAAACATCATCATCCAGTACTGAGAAGATATCAGAGGACTTGTTTTACTGTTTATTATTAGAAAACAGACTGCATGACTCTTAAATCTGAAGTTCAGTCTCCTTTATTAAATCAGAGTTAAGCGATTGAGTTTTGCTGCTAAACATGAACATCACAATGAGTCATGGCACATCTTTGTTCTCGTCTCACTGAATCCTTCTCTTCATTATTTACGCTGGCTGCACTTATTGTAAACAATCTTTAACTTCATTGATGAGAAGCTTGACTGCAGATTGACCCCAGATCAATTCTCAAATGAGCAATCCAGCCTGCTAACACACAAGCACGCTGCGTAGGCATACACAAACACACAGTTATGTTTAGTGCTGCAGGGTTTATGACTCTGTAGATACAAAGTGATGACAATACTTGGAAAATACGTTCAAGATAACATCAAATATTTAATCAATACACGCGTGTTTTAGAACCACCTTTTGTTTGTTTACAGAATTCATTAATTAAAGGCATTGTTTGGATAAACCTAATTAGAGAATAATTTTTATGTATGGTCTCTTTGGTACGCCCCCTCCTCCATTTTGTTGACTGATAAAGCCTTCCGGATCGAAGGCAAAATGTTTCAGCACAACAAAAAAAGAAACTGTCCAGATGACCTGACTGAAAAATGTTGGATTGTATACCTGGATTACTGAGCATGGACTTTGTTGTTTTCAACCAGTTTGACAAGACTGTCATCAAGGAAGAGGGTCAGCAATGGAGGAGGGGGCGTACCAAAGAGACCATCTTATCACAAGCAGAACTGGTTTGTTCCACTTTGGAGTAAGCTGTTTGGGGGAAGAATCAGTTTTGTGTTGTGTGTTTCCTTGACTGATGAAGCCTTCTGGATCGAAGGCGAAACGTTTCAGCACAAAAAAAAAAAGAAACTATTCAGATGACCTGACTGAAAAATGTTGACTCCAGGAATAGATTTTAAATCAGAAAACAATCTTAATGGGAATAACTGCTGGATGTCCAGTCCCTGAGGTGTGAGAATGGTTTTCTGTCTGATGAACCTCTGCACTGGTTTTGATGACTGCTGGGATAAACACCAGCCTCCATGAATTGGGGTAAGTACAGAAAATGGACGGACAGATGTTTGGTAATGACCGCACCTGTTTTATACAGATCAGTGGCTCCTTTGAAGAAGCGTGGCAACGCGGCCTCCAGCATCATGACAAAGTCCTCCAGCTCTTCTGTGACTCCCACTAGCATGTACTCATTCACCAGGTTGTATTTGGCCTGATCCAGAGCCCACTGGCTGCCCACGTTCCTACACAAAGATCAGAAGGAGTTTTTGTCACTGTTGTACAGAAAAGGCCACAGACATTTGGGAATGACAGAAAGACGAAAGGAGGTGGAGAACAATGTGAGGGAAACATAAACGAAGAGGAGACGAACAAGACCAAGACGGTTATAAACACAGAGGCAGGAAGATTGATGAGGTGGGATGTGAATCAAGAGGACAGATTAAAAAAAGCAGCTGTCGTCAGAATGAAACATTAGGAGATGAGGTGTACGTTTGTTTAAAGCTGTGTTAAACAAGCCTTAAGAATAAAGGGGTTAAAATGAAGAAAGGCAGGACTAAAGACACATGTTAAAGAAGTTATGGATCACAGTTACTGTGAGGTTTGACATGGCTTAAAGAAATAGTCCAGCCATTATGACGCAGCTATGAAAGTTTGAACTGTTATTCTCGAACTGCTGTAGATAGCTCCTTGAACTCTCAGTTTGGTGAAACAGAGTTTAAGTTTGACAGACATAAGAGCTGGTCCAAAGGCAGCCAAGCCCAAAGTGGACTGCTGTCATCTTCAAACAGCTCAACTGTAAAAAAAAAAAAATATAAAGGCTTATATAAATGTACTTATATAAACTGTTCCACCGCTGCCAATTTCACAAAACATGTTCTATTTATAGATGTGCCAGTCCAAGTGCAAAGAGCAACAGTAGAGGGATGTAACACATCCAGTGCTCACATCCAGCTGGAACTTCATAATTATTTTGTCAAAATA